TCTCAACACAAACTAGGTCTTTTCGGGACTAACATATGGTTTAGTTTTATTTCAATAATTCGCTTGCGCGTAGGGGTCTTTAGCAGTGGGAGGAAACCGGAGGACCCGGAGAAAACCCACGAGGTTGAACAGGCGACCCTACTCCTTGTCACGTACAACCGGGGATTCGAAACCACGCCAGTTGACTCAATGACAGGCCTTATGATACAGCGCGCACGTGCTAACCATTCGGCCAGGGGTGACCAGCCATGCTAGAGCTCAATGCGCGACACTCTAGACCACTAGGCCATTTAGATCCACAACATTTTGTATGGTGTGAGGTGGTTATCATAACTGATATGTGATGTATGTGGGTAACCACCATCCACGCAGTTTAAGTTAGCAAACATGCGCAATTAGAAACATACAAAAACAACCGATTGGACAATTTTGCCCGTATTGTAGCCGTAATCCCACATGCGTGGGATATTGACTGTTGATGGAAGTGAGAAGTTAAAACTAAACGAAGTGCATGTACTTATAATCGATATTACGTTGTAGACATTTATAACCAACAATAAAGTATCGGTGAATTTTAAAACCCATAAAAAACATCTCCATAGATTTAAAGATCTTGTCTTAAAAATTTTAAAAATAAGGAAGTTGTAAACACTGATTTCCTTATACGAAAATATAATTTCACAAACACTGCAGTTTTTTCCTAAGGTGTTATCAAATTATGTTGCAAAGTGGATTCATATTCACAATAGGATAAATTTGTCAAGTTCAAAAGTGTTGCACTTAAAGGAGATGGTCCACCTATTTCTATATGGCCGCTATACTACATGTATATAGAATTTAAACGCTTTCTATAGATGCCTCTGTTCATATCGCCGACAAAATTACAGATTAAAGTATGGCGTCACTGGCGGAATCAATATCACTAATAGTCAATTTAAAAAAGTAGTAATCTGTAAAGATGCTGCCAGTTTTGGCAGTTTACCGGCTAGTCGCAATTTTATAAGTCGAATTGTCTACTCGTGTTCGTATAGAAGTGGAATTTGAAGATCACTGGGAATCGAAATAATAGCTAACAGGCTAGCTACGTCCCGTGTGGCTGAAATGTCACTGGGGCCCTTGCATCATCAGTGAAAAGTGGTCAGAGTGATTATCGTCTGTCAAACTGACAAAAATGCAGTTTGTATGTCAGTATGGTAGATAGATAGATCTATTGTTGTTGTTAGTTAGTTGTATTTTACGTCCGCATCCACCGAGGTGATATCGCAGACAATAGATAGATTTATTTGGCACAAACTTTATATACAACATACTAAATGGCATATTTAGGCCTACTTATGGTACCAAAAAGCTCTTACAGCTAATTTGGGGATCCGTAGCTGAAGCCCATGTAGTCAGCCACCTTTAATCCGGTCCATGTGTAGTCAATAGATTATTTATATACTATACAGTCTGGCCATATAAATTTGCGCTCACAAAAGGTTTTGTTTGCGTAAAACGATTCTAAGTAAGTTTAACGCTTGTTGACTGATTATCGACATAGGTTGTTTTAGAAAGTGTGAACTTTCACAGTCACAGGTCTCGAAAGGTCTAGAAAATTAAATACCTTTTGTAAACAGATTAACTTGAGATTAACGGAGGACTGTAGCACGATTCTTCACGTAATTACATACTGGCTAGTGCAATCATTAAAATATCGACAGAATATTTACATGTCAGTTATTATATCGCCTGCATCGTAAAATATGCTTCTCTTAGATCACTATCTGTAATCACTTTTTGGTGGCAGCTGGTTTCAGTCATGCGCATCCTGAATATTTATGACTGAAATTGTAATTATGCAAATTGACACACGTGACTTCAAGTTTAAATCAATATAAGATCCCATTCAACGAATACTATTATCAAGAACACTACACCCGGAAATAAAAAAAAATGAGAGCAATTATGTTAACATTGAAAAAAAGGTGGAGAAACAGTAACAAAAATTTTCTTTAGGTGTAAGAGCTCATAATCTAAACGATTAAAGCAATGGCCGCGACAAAAACCTGTTGGGATTTTCTAAGCCTGATTTCAGCGACAGGGGTAGCCGTCAAGAAAAATGTGTCTCTGTCGTTTGCACACTTGATCTATGTTAGTCTCATAATCATGGCAGTATTGCGCGGGGTGAAATATCTATACATGTAGGTCCGCCGTGTACACATTGGTGTTCACGTAAAAGACCACTTAACGACTGGACCATGGCCCCCTATCATTGCACACTTGAGAATGGTAAATAAAAATAACTGGATTTTAGTCACAAAATTCCATTCCATACATGACATTTAAGATTCATTTGTCAATCTTCTCCCAGTTTATGTAATCGATTGTAATTAGTAAAACGTTAAATTGATAACTGGGTACTCTGGGCGCTGTTTCTGGAAATCTTAACTAAAGATAAAATCCAAATTTTAGTAGATACTTCAATTTTGATTGGCTAAGCACTAAAATCAATCTAATATTATCCAATCAAATTACTAAAATCTGGATTTTATCTTAGTTAAAATTTCGTGAAACAGGCTCCTGGTCTAAAACTACATTGTTCTATATGATTATTGAAATCTGAGATACACGATATGTCATTGGGAACATATTTTAAATGTTATTTTGAGAAAAACTGAATGTCATTAAACAAATGTAACAACTTTTAAAAAACAAATACATGAGAAATGCAGACTATTCAAAAATGTTCATTAATATCACAGCACTTCACTTTAATTACATAAATCGATCAAAATAGACAAACCTCTGGTGCTTATTCAACATGATTTAATTACAACTATTAGTTAAACCTGTTTAATGGTCGATATGCTCGGGTAATTTAGATAATCTATTGCAAAAATCTGCATTGTCACGGAAGTCAGTGGTCTGTGATATTTATGTCCCGTCTGCGACAGGTAGGTTTTCGGGACATTGTTCCTCTCAGACATTTTGGCCACAGATGTATTTATAGATTGATTTTCGAAAAAAACGTGGGCATAAAGGGGGTATTATCGCAGACTTTAGTTAATCTATTTGCGGAGTAACACGTGTCACTTAACCGTCAAACCATCTTTTATTATTCTGATCCATATTAATAACAACTTAATTATCGATAATCACGCGCGTCTCATTACCTTTAAAGCATATCATTCACCATATTAAGGCACTGTTCAAAAATTCACTTTGTGGAAATGAAATTATGCTGAATATTGGGCGATTTTAATATAAAATAATATATCTTTATCTTATTTATTTGAATAATAATTATAATGTTTCAATTTAATTCATGGCAAGAATAATGCCTATCACGAAGATTCTGTTCACTTTAAATGCAGCCAATCTGACGGTTCTGCAAGTCTGCGATTTTGATATAAAACAAAAAGTTGGGATTTTGGTTACTTATTTACATAATAATTAGTATGTTTCAATTTAATTTCGAATAACTTTAGTATTGACACGAATCTGGGACAAGGTCAGTTCAACATATCAAACACAACATTTTTTTATCAGGCAGAGTAAACTATGACAATCCTTTCTGGTTCACAAATTGACATAATTTCTAATGTTACATTCTATAAGGTCTACAGACCAATAATTACCATCTTAATATCTGGTATTAAAAGTTTTACGGTCGGGGTTTTCTCAGAGAAAGGTGTTGAAATATTTATTGCTTCTGTCGTTCGTCTTTTCTAAAGACTTGCTGTATAATAGCCAGGGGGAATACCCGAGGTATGTAAAAACCTGCTGACACCTCCAATTTCCACCCAGTAATAGAAATTACACCCAGGGGTCAGTGTTGAATTGCCCGAGTTTTAATGTCATCGTTTTTGATTTGTGCTTAACAAAAGAATTGAAATAAACCCGTCCGATTTAGTCAGGTAAAAAAGGAACTTAACGTCGAACAAAGATTGTGACCGGCCAGTCGCCAGTCAAGCCTTGTTTCACAATTGATAAGAAACGAACTTGGCCCAGCTGACGGCACATCGACCAATAAATAAAGCACAGCCTGTTGCGTACCACTCGTGAGACAAGCGTAGTTATTAGGCCGATGTTCAATTAGCATCTATATTTTCAAATCGGCTTCCATTGATTTTATATCTAAAATGTCACAGCTTCACAGGTGAAAGAAATTCAATATGTCAGTATTGAAACACGTGGTTTATGAAATACGAAATTATAACCAAACTAATGCTATCAGTATCAGTGAAATGAACAAATTAATATTAGGCCTATTTTGTCTAGGGCTGTTTTAATTAATGAATACTGAATATTTTATGTTGATTTTTATTAATTTCATTAAGTCTGATTTTGCACCACATGTCACCTTTTCTTTAAAAAAAAATATCTATGACAATATATCTCCAAAGCTTCTTAAGAGTATCTAAGAAGTTTTCGCAACACGTGGTTTTGGAGATAGCCGTCCATTGTCCTAAATATAGACATGGCCAGAGCTTGTGGATACAGCTTACTTTTCAAAGATCAGTAAACATATTAGAATACAAAACTAACCAAGGCATCAAAAATAATAAGAAGAAAAGCTGTCATATATGTATTTTATGTTAGAAGCATTCGTCAAAGTAGTTGAGTATTATCTCTATTTCCCCCTAAAAATGCTACACAAAACTTTGAAGTTTGTACCGGCTTGTAAACTGACAGCCGCTTGACACTGACAGCTTTCTTTGTGTAGTCACGTGATATTGAAAAAGCGCGAAACTACATCAAGCCCTAAACCTGTCATTTTTATAAACTAATACACAGAGATAATATTCGATTTTATTGTTAACATGTTCCTGGATAATTTTAAAATGTGTATCTACTAAGTTTATTGTCAATCAGTAAGGTATTTGCCAGGAATAACTCATATTCATCGGAAATGTCATCGCGAGTTGTTTGGCGTAACCTTTGACCCAGGCCCTGCGAGCCAATCAAAACGCCAGGACATACATATGCTAATGACCACGTGGCCTCGATCTGTCAAACAAAAAATGTTCCACGCTGTCGTATACATAGCAGTATAGCCGCGTGGTCTGAGCTAGGTAGCGTGCTTGGTGTTTTGTGGATATTGACAGGTGAATATCTGTCATCGGAACCGTCAAACTGGACATTTTTACCATGAAAGATAACCGCGACAAGATGAGAACGAAAAGAGGTTAGTAGATTTTGCACATTCTCTCGTGAACAACAAATCAATTCGTTACAAAACAGGAAAATAGATGTAGACTTCCGAAAGCACGTGGTCGACAGCCACTCGCTCGGCTTGCTGTGGGGCTTTGTTTGAAATTACAAAAGTCACGGATTTGTATTAGCGCAAATTCTTCATTAAAACATTCTAACCTAATCAAAACTTTTTTCTATATTTGAGGGTTTTTTGAGTTTGACATTTCGTTACGAAATTTGAAATCTGACAGTTGTGAGCTGTCAAATCATGACAAATGAAAGATGGCCCACTTTCCTTTCCTTGCAGGAGTCATGTCTTGCGGTGATTACAAACATTCAAAGTCCGCTTTAAAACCGTGTTTTTGTTTACCTTTATGTCAATTTACCCCAAGCTCTCGCCACAAATAAAAACATCTTTAGAGACCGTGAGGATGAAACTATTTTCTAAATTTGAATTGGGCAGCTTGCCATATGTTATGCGCGATGTTTCTTTGTCATTTGCTATTTTTAATCTTAAGTGTTAGGTAGTTACTCCATAAATTCTCATAAATTTAACTTTTCCTTTCAGTTCGTGAGCACAGTGGCAAGTCATGGATGAGTGACGAGTACGACTCGGGGGATGGCAAACGGAGAGATTCAGCACTCAGTCTTGAGTCCAGTTTGAAAAAGCGGAGGGGTAATTTACCAAAAGAAGCTGTTAGGATACTTAAGGGTTGGTTGTATGAACATCGATATAATGCCTATCCCACAGACCAGGAAAAAGTCCACTTGTCAAATTCAGCCAATTTGACAGTTCTGCAAGTCTGTAATTGGTTTATTAATGCAAGGCGAAGAATTCTACCAGAAATGATTAAAAAAGATGGAATGGATCCGTTACATTTCACAATAACACGGAAAAATAAACAGTTGAGTTTTGATAAGGAGGATTATGAAGATGGAAAATACAATGGTCAATCAGTGATCGAAAGTCATAAATTTGACAATTCCGAGGATAGTGTTTCAAGTCGTGATTCGCTTTATCCTGTATCCATGGAAACAGATGGATATGTTTCTGACAGTGAAACCTCATTAAGTGACTTTTCGGATACAGAATCCCTGTCCAGAAATACCCTAAGTAATCCCCGATTAATAAACAATACTTCTACCCCTCATAACATGAAGTTCACCGCTCAACAGGGGCCATTGTTGACATTTAATGACAGTACTGTAAACAACACCCCACCTCCATCTCCCCCTGCTGATCAGAATAAAGACATTTTCCGTTGTTTTTACATGTTAGTAGATGTGGCGATTAATCAGTTGGAGAAACAGAGGCAATTAGAAAAAGGTGAACACAACAAAGAAAACAGTTTATAAAGAAGTAATGTGTTCTCAGAAGTCAATGTGAAATTTTAGTGAATTACTTCCCCTGATTGTATATATCCTATACGTATGTGTGTTGCTTACTACCACGTGTTTTTGTACCAGATGGTAGCCCATGGCTTGTCAAGGTAGACTACACTATAGCCTTTTGTAATATGTATATATACTAACGTATATTTCACTGCCAAATATAGACTAAAACATTCATAATTCTGTGTGTTTTTATATATTAAAAACAATTCTTTATATTTTGACACAACATTAATTTCTGATTTTGAAGTTTGACAGAGTTCAAAAAATTGTAGGGTTAATACAATTATGGTGATCAAAGTTTAAAAGTTTTCTAGTCTTAATTCATTTATTTACAATTTCATGGCATTTTGAAAGTTAAGAATCGCTTTCTTTCATCCATTGAATTTATTAGTGCTATTTTTTTTTTTTGTATTAACAGGTAATATATTCCATTCCATTCATTAATCACCCATTATTAATCATGATGTAAATTTAATTGCATTATATAATTGTCTTATTGCTAAATGTAGTCAAATAATTTAGATCATAAATGCATAATGCAATAGCTGTGCTTAGTTAGTTGTAAAAAGTCACTATCCCAGTACTACACTGTAATATGACTGTAGTTCATCCATATGGCTTGAAGCTATTTATCACGTGACCTCAAAAGCACGTGGTGATGGCTTACGGCGAGGTTTGAAGTATCACAACTTAGCAATGTTTGACATGGTAGACCCCTAGTATGACTAGCTATCTACCCATTCCAACTGTTCATTTTTCATTTGCCTTATAATTATTGTTGAATAAATTTTACATTGAGTTAGTACTATTTAAAGATATGACTAATTTGACCCAATTATGTTAATATGCGATTTATGATATAGGGATTATGGAGATGACATTTGGGTCTGTTGAATATTTGTATACTAATAACTATGTTTATTGTTAAAAATAGTCCATAGACTGAGTCAGTTTGACTTTTAAATATAACCATCATTGTTTTTGTTTACCTTTTTAATGATTTTGAAATGTTTGCAGTTAATGTTTCACTGGCATCTATTCATTCAGGGCATTAGTTCAACATACAATTATGAAACACTGAAGGAAAAAACAACCTACCCGAAAACCCCAGAAATCTTTAAGTGCATTTAAACAATTTCTATCGTTTTATATACATGCCAGAATTTTGTATTTTGAATAATAATAACTTAAAAGTTAAAAAAAACAAATGATTTATATATTTATGTATGAGAATATTATGTACAGAATAATTATTGATTCAATGAATTGTTTTTTTTTTTGACATGTGTGATAATTATAATAAAATTTAATAAATAGTAAAAATTAATTATTTGAATTAATTGGAAAATGATTGTGGTTGATCTGTTACGTTATTCTGGTTAGCCTTTAGGGCCCGTTGTATATACCGGCCCGTGTACAAACAAATACGAACCAGCTCCATATTAAGTAGGCTAATAAAATAAAGCTGCCTTTGTTATAATTGTTGGACAGGATGCTGTGGATGATTGATAAGTCTACATTATAAATTATTTCCATCCTTGTTTAAATTCCTTCAAGCTTGTAATGTTCAAGTGTTGTTGGTTGAGTAGCGTTAACCGGGTCAGGCTTCAGCAATCTCTTTACTTCCGCGTTTCAAAAAGAGCGGGAAAATATCAAGCCGCTAAGATTATTACACAAACAAGTTGGGGATTTCTCGTTAAGACCGATTCGTGTGTCTTTGTGCATGTGTGAGTTTTCAGCTAGGCAAGTGGGTGACTTGTTTAGATCAACAGAGCGTGACGCTTTATTTATCACACCTGGACGATTGTTGGAGAAAGTGACGGCTTTAATCCAAGTTAATTCTTTGGCAGTGTTAACTGTTAAAATGTGTGAGTGATTGTTGTTGATTTTACACCGACTGACTGTTTCTAAACATCAAACTGTATGCACCTATTAAGTCCTGGCGCAGAGTGCAGGGGCCGTTTCACAAAGCAACCGCAAAACTTCCGTACACAAATCAAATATATTGCTATTCTAATAGAAATGAAACAAAATTTGGTTTGACGCCCTACTATTTTTCTGCACCAACTCGGTTACTGAAGACGGGTATACGCAATGTAGTTTTCCATCCATGAGTGAAATTCCGAGTAACTTTCTCGCTCTGGGAGGGGGGGGGGGATGTGGACGGCCGAATGGTTAGCACGCGCGCGCTGTATCATACCGTCTGCCATTGAGTCAATTGGAGGGGGTTCGATTCCCCGGTTATACGTGACAGGTCGTCTCTCCAACCTCGTGGGTTTTCTCCGGGTCCTCCGGTTTCCCCCCACTGCTAAAGACCACTACGCGCAAGCGAATTATTGAAATAAGATTGAACCATGTGTTAGTCCCGAAATGACAGTTTATGTCGAGTGGATGTTAAACCCCATTTCTTTCTCTTTTTCGGACCAACATCGTGATCAATGCCACAAGGACCTCCTTGTCAACGAGATAGCACCTTACTCGCTGAGTCACAGTGGTTCTGGTGAATACATAAATATCGAATATTTTGTTTTTCAAGAGATATATGGAGTTTACGAAAACGTCGGCATCGTGAAACCATTTCAGGCGTGGGTGTCTCAATGATATGAAGAATCGGAATATCGTCGCTACTCCGATAAACTAACCGCTTAGTGGAAATATTGCACCCCTTCTCACTTGCCCTGGTGATATAGCTACCGGATAATCGAATTCTTTACCCAGGAATTTCACTGTTCCACAGTTTGAAGGATTGGAATAAGGTCTTTCATTTTTACAAATTACTCCAATCTGAAAAAAGTACGGACAATAAATACACGTACCCGTTCTTCTATAAGTATTGTAGAAACGATGAAAGTCCGTTATTATTAATGATTATGGCTAAATATTTTGATTATGTTTAATTTGACTATTGCATAATAGATTTATAAATGAATTGTGACCCATGTTCGAAAATGTCAGAGAGGCTGGTCAAATATTTTATGAAGGAAATTGACTCATGTATTCTTCTACACTTTGGTCATAATTTTGAGAATATAAATCAATCCCTTATTCGCCTGAACCATATTTTGAGGAGTTGGTTTTTACGTTCATATTCAAAATTCGGAAAAATCATTAACTTTTTTTTTTAACTCTGAATAATAAGTAATGATTTTTTCGTTTTTCGATAACTGGCATTAGCCCGGTTGGTCCAGACCTGTAGGCCACTAAACACCATCTTATTTTTTTGGGATAATGTTGTTTACTGTAGATCCAAAACCCCTGAACTACCGCCCATCTGCTGTTTATTAAATGTACATTTCAAATGACGTTCTATATCTCATGCTCTTTTAACATCCCCAACATTGACATTATTATACTAGATATTATAATAAACTTCGTTGAAACTCAAATCAAAATACACTTTCAAATAAAGGTCGTATCAGCTGTGTGTGCTTGTGTCACCTGGTGACAGTTCAATATGGTAATAACGATATGAAACAGTTACCGTTAGACAGGAAATGATATGTTCTGCATCGCTTGCTGCACAGTCTATACACAAAACATAACAAAAATGCTATGAGAAATGTATACCAGCTGTTGTCAATAATAAACTCACAAACGTGACCAGTGGTCAATAAGGCATACATGTCAAAGTGACCACCCTCGACCAGTTTGCTTTGGTCTACCATTTTACATATTCCCCCCAGCTGCTGCATATTCACCCTGGCTAATCAATAACAACACAATTTTAACATAAGCGATAAAATTAATGAAATTGTCAATAAGTCATTCATGACTAAGTTAATTCAGTAACAGGTTATGATATGATATGAACAATTTAAAAATTGTTATGTCCATGGGTTATATGAAAATATTTATACTGTATAGGCAAGGATAGACTAACATCCATATTTATAAATATTGATATGTATAATACCCCCATAGAAGACATTCATGATGTCCTTCATAATATATTTATTTTTAAAGAAATTCTATACCGTATTGTAGTCACTAACGGTCAAGCATAACCAAAAACAGGTGCCGCATTCAACCATAATTCATAGCAAATAGTGTGGAAACGATTAATGTCTCCTTACTGAGACATCGCCATAAAAACATATTTTCCGACACTACCAAAGTTCACCGTAGAGCACATCACTCAGAACGGGACATTCGGGAGTCTTGAACTTCACAATGGATGGTTAATTGGTTCCTTTTTGGCCCGGCTCGATCCATATCTGCTGCAATATGACACCAGCGTGACGTTTGTGCCTGCTAAGATGCTGGATGAAATGTCTTGTTTATCCAGATCTGTTGTGACGCGTGCCCAACAGTCTTTCTGTTTGCTTCCTGCTTACAGCATTAACAAAAGAAATATTTTTTCTGAGCTTTGGTGTATTCTGTGAAATAGATGTTTTTTGCTTTATTTACAACTATTGACAAATGATAAATATCCATGACTGTGCGTGTGGCAAAACAAAGTCGAGAATTTGAGATTGTCAAAAGTTGTACTCAAAATTCAAAATCCCCCCCCCCCCGCTTCAGTTATAATATAGCCGAATGACAAGATTCGAGGAAAACAATTGTACGATAGTTTCAGCTGATGTGTTTCAGTTATTCAAGGGGGTCACGGTGGCTAAGTGGGTAAGATGCTGGCACGCAAGCCTGGAGGTCGGGTGTTCGATCCCTGCATTGGCCGAGAAAATTCATCCCGATTTTCTGGCGTGGTTCCTCCTTGTCAGTGATGCAGGACGGAGTGTCTGACAAGGACAGCTGTCTAGTCGTTCGGATGGGACGAAAAACCGAGGTCCCGTGGACACAGTGGCGTGCATGTAAAATTCGATATAAGAGTAGGCCGTAGTGCCGCTGTCCGGGCAAAATTTCCCTCATAGCACACTGTATTGCGTATGCCCGTCTTCATTAGCCCAGTTCGGAACAGAACAGTAGGACGTTAAAATTCCATTTCATTTCATTTCACTTCAATTATTCAATTCGTATAAAACGACAGAATACCGACAGCAATCAGGCATCACTTATCAATGAGTTACTGTTTAAACAGTTACTTGGATTCGATAGTTTCAAACAATATTATGTTGATCTGCAAAGGGCTTCAATATTCCAAACTATAAAATTCAAAATTTACAGTGAATCATGTCACAGCCGAATAATTACACACTGTCCCTTTAATTTACTATTGCTGCTGTATAGTATATAGAAACATGTGGTAAAGTTCAGTGTCCTGAAAGAAAATCTTTATTTGCTATTTATATCGTCTGCTAAACATTGGTCGGCACGCTTCTTGAGCCCTGGCATTTACGCGAAAAGAATTTGCATGTGTACGAAATGTCATTTAAATTGCAAAATCTCGTCTCTTATATCAGATATAACTGTACATTTTACTGTTCGAAAGTCAACGTAGGCTTTTCCATTATCTAGTATATTTCAAAGGTAACAAAAAAGTGTGGAGTTATCTATATAAATTGTTATCTATTTATATCTTTTTATTTTAAATTTACATGGTAGAATATTCCAGGTGTCAGTCTTGGCGTGTGCATTGCCTGCGGTACAGCCTACTATCACGTCGTTCGGAAGGAAAACCAAAAGGCAGCATCGTATTTGAATTGTATGCCAAAGGTTCCTGGTACATGTACATGTAGTTGGAATTAGAAAATAGGTTCGCATAAACAATTATTTGTGGGGTGTCGCGGAGGAGGGGGTGGGGTACTTGCCCGGAAGAAAATATTTTGGTGTGAACATCCCACTCCCACTGGCCACACCTATGGATGTCAGCAATAGACTCCCTTGTAGATTTGTGGCTTGTTTGCTGAGAAACACACGTGTTTCTACGGCACCTATGTACACATTCACATGCACGTAAAAGATCAACAACAGTTGTAATTCGAAGAAGAGTAAGTAGAAAGGCCACTGCCTGGACAAAATTCTTCTCTCTAACATTACACACGTGAACATGATCAATAAATATTTATATCAAAATAACATTAATATTGTGACGATGAGATATAAGATCAGATGTACCTTCCACATTCTGCACGTGTGTGGTTTCTTTCAAAGATAGGGACGCGGTAAATCGAGGGGCCAGGGAACTGAACTAGACATCCTACGTGATGGATGGTGCCTGGGGGGCTAACAAGGAAAACGTGTCCAGCCGTTCGGGTGGGACGAAACACTAGGTCAACCCGTGTGCATACCGACGTGTACGTTAAAGAAGCCTGGGTAGTTGGCAAAATTCCCCATCTCGCATTACAAGCGTAACCACAGAAATGAA